GAAAGTACAGTGGTCGCACTTCAGCTGGCTAGAAATGCCAATTGCCAGTAGATTTGTTTTTAGTTATTTTTAGTTTTTTCCACCAAAATGTTTATTAACAAAGAGCCAATTTTACACTTCCGTTCTTCTAATTCTGTTTTCAAGCGTTTCTGCTACTTTTTACTGGGTTAAGTTGCGCTCAACAACACAACAAAAACAATATATAACAGTATAATTGAGCGGAGTTTGTGTGACCCCTTCCTGGAGAGTGTGTTGAATTCTTTTATACAGATTTTAGGCACCACTTCAAACGGGGGTGTACTTTACACAACTCTTTGTGGAGAGCAATTAAGTTTATTAAAGAGTTAAGCACTCCCCGAAAAGGGTCGCACAAACTGCTCAAGTATGCTAATACTTGACATTAACTCTTGCTAGAGAGCATACTTAACTTTTTAGTAGGGAATGTAGACAACACTTCTAATGGAGTTGTATTTACTCTCCACAAAATGGTTATCACAACTCTTCCTAGAGAGCCTGCTTAATTCTTTAATGCAGAGCTTAAGCAACACTTCTAATGAAGTTGTAGTAACTCTGCACAAACAAGTGAAATTAACTGCTCCTGGAGATTTTTTTTTTTAATTCTTTGATACAGAGTTTAGACAACACTTTTAATGGAGTTCTCATTACTCTACACACAAAAAATCAACTCTTCCGGGAGAGTATGTTTAACTCTGGGATACAGAGTTTAGGCACACTTCTAGTGGAGTTGTAGTTACTCTACACGATGGAGTGAAGGTAACTCTTCCTGGTGAGTACGCGTAACTCTTGAATACAGAGTTGAGGCAACACTCTAATATAGTTGAAGTTACTCTACATGAAGGAGTGAAGGTAACTCTGCCTGGAGAGCATCCTTAACTTGTTAACAAGGAGTTTAGGCGCTATTTTTGATAGAGTTGTAGTCACTCTACACAAAGGAGTGATATTAATTATCATCAAAGAGTTTAGACAACGCTTCTTATGGAGTTATAGTTACTCTACACAAAGGAGTGAAATTAACTGTCACACTTAGGCATTATAAGCGTAGTCCTGACTCTCACAAAAGTATTGGCATGACTCTTTATAGAAGAGTTAAGTGAACGCTCGCATGGGACAGTTAAAGTTACACTCGTCGTTGAAGAGTAACAGTTACTCTCCATAGAGAGTGTGGTTTGCTACAACCCGGATATTCTCCAAAAAGAGTCGAGTCGACACTTGTCGACTCCTTTTTTTTAGAGTGTGGATCATTACCTGCCTGTGCATGTGCGATCAAAACAAGTTAAAGTCACCGTAATATAATACGATTTTCAGTAAATAAGTACTGCTTTGTTCTTTCTGCTCTGAACATCGCTGTAAAGTATTTTCAGTATCAGAAAATCATAAAAGCTATAGCTACAGAAAAGTACCGAAATGTGCCAACTGCAGCGGGAACCCCTCATCTGCATATCGGCTATCCGCGAAAGAAGGCCGTCATTGCTGCAAAACAAAATTTTATAATCAACAGAAGCCATACAATGCACCATGCTCCGTCACCGAATCAAAACTGTTGTTCGCCGTCTACCGCAACCGGAGCACTGGCACGACAACATGCAAAGAAAACTTTCACTGAGATTTTAAAACGTCCTAACAAGAATCAAAAAGAAAACAGAGCTCGACAACTCGAAGATTGCCGTCCCTTAGAGGAACGCCAAGGGCAATTGACGGCATCCAGGCCTGTGTTAACCCCTCGTTTAGCTCAAAATATACGTGCGATTCTAACCGATGCGCCGTCAACACCACTATTCGCATATCATTCACGAAGTCAACTGTGACGTTGCTAGTCATCACAACACCTGTGTGTGCATATGTTATAGAGGGTCGTTTCAAATTAGCAGACCTTGTGATTATGAACAAGTTTTACTTTGAAAGTTAGAATAGAATTAAGAAATAGGTAAAAAAAAACGTAGGAAATACAAGAAAGTAAACTGGAATAAATGAAGAAGAAAAACTATCTGCACGAAGCAAGAGTAAATGTCATAGTCCGTAGATATCCTTAGTTCAACGCAGGTGACTCAGTCAGTGTTCGTCTGCATCACTCACAGTCAGCCGTCTTCCTGCTGTCTCTGCTCGTCGTCGGGAAGAATGGAAATCAACGTCGATCGGGACCCTTTGCCAAGTTCCAGGGTCGATGCATGGCGTCCGTTCAGACTTCCGAAGGTCGGCTTCCACCGCCTGCCCAACAGGCCTTTTCTCGCTCTCCTTCTTCCTTTTCTTTCCCCGCAGTCTCAGCGATCTCAAGCACCAGACACGCTCAATCTAAAAAAAAAAAAATTTCTGCTAGGAAAGTTTAAAAATTATATTTACTGTTCCAGAAACAAGACTCCCCCCTTTTACTTTCAACTAACCACCTAAATATTCAATTAGGTTCTGTAGGAAACCAACTTTCACACTAAGAATTCAACACTCTGTTGTGCCCTAAAGCAACCACGGATAACCATCTGTCAGTATAAGAGAACTCTGTTTACACTGATCCCCGACTGCAGAGGCCACAAGAATGGGACATTCCCGAAGGTTCTGGGGGTGCCATTGGCAACTCTTCCATACGTTCAACCGGAGACATTGAGGACATTGTCTGCTGCACATTTGTCGTTATTCTCCCGGTCACCTCGAGCTCTTCCGGAATCCCCGGTGCGATCAGCTCTCTATCTGGTTACCCGACCGTTGTCCCTTCATTTTCAGCAGGTCCCCGTGGAGCCAAATTGTGAGTTAAAGGGGTCGTGAAAGATTTTCTACAATTCTCTCTATGTGCGATATTTTGATTACCGGTCCTCTATTAGGTAACCCACGCGCATTCGTTTTATCGTCCGGATTAATTTATTAGCGTAAAACGACCATTTCTGTTTCCCGGGCAGCTTGCCTCTCACTTCTACGGATACGTCACATTAAGACAGTCAATCGGAAAGTATTGCTTTCTGACGTCACGCGGAGAAGTCAAAGGCGAACCAGATACGTTCCTCAGATGCAAGATGTCCGATCGGCGGGCCGTTCCCGAGCTTAAGCGTCGATTAATCGAGCGAAGCAGACTTCTCGGCTTTGTGCCTTATGCGGACACCCCCCTCCAAGGTGTACGAGACCGCTCACCATTCGACGGCGACACCGACAGCGAAGACGGGGCGAGCTCTGAGCAGCGAGGCTCGCGCGGTTTGACGAGAGCTCGTTCGTGTCCTGATCATCAACCTCCTGAACCGGGTCGACTTGGATGTACAAACTGGTATGTATTCGTGTTCTACACGCCGTAAATCAACTCGCAAGTGCGCGCAGTTGCTGATCCAAACATTCGAATAGGTGCACCTGCGGCCGGTGCGAGGCGATGCCGACCATCGTAGAAAGCGTCTGCTGCCGCGAAATTCCGGCAGCGACCGAGAAGCAGCCGTCGGGCTGCATTACCAGGAATGTTCGCTTCCACACGCTGTGCCTGGACGACGTGGTGCTCGACGTCGTTTTCCATACGCTCCAGGACCGCGGCGTACGGGTGGAGAACACAAGGTAATGTCACATACAGGCTACATGCCTATATGTACTAGAGGCGCCTGCGCTTACGGGTGCAAATATATTTCCCCTGTGCTTCGTCTCACAGTAGCATGGACTAACTGCGAAGGCTGTGCATGGACCTCGCGCTGTACAATCGCTCATGCAGCCGCCGAGCCGTGACGCAAAGCAACAAGCTCGCACACATGCGTAATAGACCCTGCTAAGGTGAGACGAAGTATCAATAACATTGTGCTTGTTACCCAGTACGTTTAGCTTTATTTTCGTTTACAGCGTCAGCACGCTGAGAGCACATGCGAGTGTTGATAAGATGTACCTCCAGACTTGCATCTGGTATGTCAAGTGTCTGCTTATGGATATAAAAAAATGGCAAAGGAAGCAGTCCATGCACATCTATCTGTTTTATTACTGTGCATCTTGTAACACTTGTATCACTTTGAAAACAGACACTTTGCCTCAGTATAAATTTGTATGAAATTGACTTCGACAAATACTGTATGCAAAAATTAGGACAAGAAAATAAGCAAGTTCTAAATTCAGACAGAAAACAGAGCACTGTACACAATGAAATCGCAATAGTAAAAGAGCTAATTTCACACCGACGACTCACTGGATGACTCATTTGCCATAGCATAAAATAAGTAGCATTGAAGGAAGACGATGAAGCAGAAGAAACAGAGAGGGAGCGCATGAACCACCACACAAGCGACTGATGCTAAGGTCGACGAAAGGGGCAACTCAGGGCTCAGACCGATTACATCCTTAGATTGGTGGCAGCGGTGCGATGGCGAATGCTGCACCGGTGGGATGGCGACAGCGCTACAGGTCAGTGACTGATAATTTTTTTGGAGATGAGGACTATGATGAATGGGAATGCCATTTCAACGTTTGTGCTGCGAGAAACAATTGGGATGACGCCAAGGAGCTGCTGTTCCTACCGACTCTAGTGCGCGGACGAGCTTCCCTGGTTTACCAGCATCTGGATCTACAAGATCGCGCATCCTTCGCCTGTCTATCCGCTGCCATGACAAAGTGCTTTGGATCTCCTGCTCAACGAGAAGTTGCTGCCTCGCAATTCCGAATGTGGAAACACCACTGTCGTCGGCATATATGACAAATCAAATTTTGCAGGACTTATGTTTACAATGTCATTAATGTACATATTAAAAAGAAACGGTCCAAGAATGCTCCCCTGTGGGAAGCTTGAGTGAATAGGTTTAACGTCGGAAGAACCACTCTGGACAACCACAAGCCGTCAGAACCAACCATATGCTTCGAGCATGCCATGTGACTTTCTGGTTGGATACAGCAATATGCAGAGTGCAAGTTTAGTTGGAGCCGGACTGGCTGGGATGGCCCGTAGCATTGGCCGCAATCTATCGCAGGGTGAAAATGAGGAAATTAAATTATTATGCTAGAAGTGAACGCAAGATATCTTCCAAAAGCACTTGCGTGGTTCAATCACAAACGTGATTACCAGGAACGAGCCATTGACTTTGTCCAAATTCATCATGGACACAGTGTGTGTAAAGACCTGGGTGGTCCTCGTGTATGTTGATGACGTGGGCTTGTATGCTCCGCCACATGTCGTCGAGCAAGTCTTGGCTGCCGTCACAGATGGCAGCACACCAGAAGAGATGGTTGCTGGCTGGCTGGATCCAGACTTTGAGCACGCCACATCCAGCACGCTTCGGTTGAGCAGCCAGCTTCTTCTTGATGCCTATAAGTGAGGTAGAGTGGGAACTGCAGTTACATGTTTACTAGTAATTTATCTATCTCTTTCCAAGGTTGAAGTATTACAGGGTGTAATATGGCTACCACGAAGGCGTGGTCTGTCTCGTAAATAGAAGCCCAATGAGCAAAAAGTGGGCTCCTAAAGGGGAGCCGACAGGCAAGCCCACGTAGGCTGCCCCATCCCCCGTGAATGTGGGCCCACATTGGTTTTGCAGGTCACAAAGGTTTTACATGGCTAGCCCAACTCGGGCACGCCCACATTTAGCCGCTGTGGAGGCCACATCATTGCCTTTGGCCCCCGTACAGCCGAGGGGGAATTCACGTTTTTTTTTTTCATGGGCTGCCCGATTGGGGCATGCCCACACTTTGCAGCCATAGAGCCTCCACCTTAGTCCATTGGGCCATCGCAGAGCCGAGGTAGGGCCCACGGTTTGTTCACACAGAGCGTCTGCACTTTCAGCAGTGTCCCTGACACCTTCGACGCACTTTCACATGGCGCATGGCACTTCCGGCACACCCAGAAGAGTTCCTTTAGAGATGTCTCGAACACGATGCATTTCCTGTCATTCTCCGGGAGGACCTCTTCAATGAAAAAACAGTTAGGGCGCAGGCGAGCTGGTGTAAGTTTACCATTTTTCACCACCTGAGACTGGGTGGAAGAAACACGACGACGTCTCAAACACAGCTAACCACTTTATTCAGTTCTCCCTCAAAATGGTGGACACTTTGGCTAGTTGGTGGTTGCTATACATAATTTGTATTCTGTCCCTCTCCTTGTGCGCTGTTTAATTATGTATAGTTCTCCCTCCTTTTATACATCCTGACCCAACACCGCCACCAAAAAACATTTCAAACAATGGCACCAATGCGACACGCCATGACATCGCAGCCACAAATTTCATTAAAAAAAAAGTTACGAACCACTTTGGTTTAACAAACGGTAAACACACAACAAAACATCGGCCGAAGGGGATAATCTCGACCTGGCAGCCACTCTTAACTTTACAACAACAAACGGTAAAGGCGAGTGTTGTTAGATCGGTGATCACCAATGCTCTGAACAGGTCATGTGTTCATTTTATGCCTAAGGCAGTGAGGGGGCAGTGGCACCGATTGATTAACATAGGCTACGAGGGAGATTTCATCGGGAGGCAAGTGACCTTAATGTTTCGGGAAAAGGGAAAGGCGGAGGAAAAATCGAGTAACAGGTTCGCAGTAATGCCGTATTTTCACACCGTGTCACACAATGTAAAAGCGTGTGCAAAAAAATTTGGCGTTAATGTAGTGTTCAGCGCGGACTTTAAGTTGGGCAACCTCACCCCGTTCCAAAAAGAAAAAAAGGGTGCCAAAAGGGCCACAAGGAAAAATCTGTGCTTGTGAAATCGGTGTAGTTTACGACATAACGATAACTTGTGGTTTTAGGTACATAAAGCAGACCTCAAGATGCTTGAACGATCGTCTGACTGAGCACAAAAGAAATGTAAATATAAAAGCGACTAATTCCGAAATTGCGACACATCGACAAGAATGCAGAAACTGCTCGGCCGAGTGGTCCGGTACAACGGTAGTATGCAAAGAAGTCAACGACGTCAAAAGGGTTGTAAAAGAGACAGTGAAAATTAGGTCGATCGGCAACTGCATAAGCCAGGCGTCTATGCTTTTTAGTGATAGGGCGAAAGCTTTTCTGCGAATATGATTTGAACAGGTCTTGTGTTTTTTGCGAGAGGTTCTCCTTTGTCATGTTCTTGTTCCGGGTGTATGCGTACGTACAAAGAAGAAAAAAAAAGTTGTAACAGGTTGATGGGTTCGTACTGCAGTCGGTTCCGTGTGGTTCGCTTGTTCGTTTGTTGTAAAGCTAAGAGTGGCTGCGAGGTCGAGAATGTCCCCTTCGGCCGATGTTTTGTTGTGTGTTTACCGTTTGTTAAATCAATGTGGTTCGTAATTTTTTTTAAGAACTTTGTGGCTGCGATGTCAAGGCGTGTCCCATTGGTGTCATTGTTTGAATTGTTTTTTGGTGGCGGTGTTGGGGTCAGGATGTATAAAAGGAGGGAGAACTGAATAAAGTGGTTAGCTGTGTTTGAGACGTCGTCGTGTTTCTTCCACCCAGTCTCAGGTGGTAAAAAATGGTAAACCTCTTCAATGTTGCTATCACGTCTGAAAAAAAACATGAGTGTAGTAATAGATGAGACGTACGACGTCCATCGTTCCTGTTTAGGGCTAATGGGGATAAGAATTTACAAGAGTAGAAAACACCAGAGAAGGTGACGAGACTCCTCAGAAAAGAACTCTCTTTTGTGTTCCAGTGTGCATTATTGTATTTGCCACTGTCCAATAAACTGAAAATCTATCATGCGTGTACGCATATCATGCTTTCTAACGTGCCGTCCATTCCTACAAACTCAGATTCTAACACTGTGTGTTAGTGGTATTGTGTGGGACCACTCAGTATTTTGGATGCGCACTAGAAAACCAGACAACCCTTTAAAGTTAGTTGAAGAGTGCAAAGTCGAACTTGCAACACCCCCCCCCCCCCCCTCTCCTGAGGGGTCACGGGATCATGTCTGGGGGTTGTGGGGCCTCGGAGACCCGACAATAAAGCTACCGAACGACACGCGTTCGGACTGCTTCAAATGTTTTACTATCAGCTTCAACTAGCGGGATTTCTTAATTCACTGCACAGCACATGCCTGTCAGGAAAGGCACAAAAGATACCCGGCAGCTGTCATTGTGTTCCCAATAGTTGACAATGAAGAGAACATTATTTTCGTCTGAGGCATGTGTTGACACAAAGGAATGTGGGCACTTGACTGATCGGAAACATCTTTGTTCAAGAGCGCAAGTATGCGGCTGTTGTCGAACAGAGCTGTCGTTCTTCTAACCGTTGCGTCACTGTACCTGTAGGAACTTGCATTTTCAGCCTGTCAAAAATAGACAAAATGTTGGTCACATCTTTATATAGGGCCAGACCTCAGCTTATTTTCCTAAATTTGGACGAAACTTAAGAATCATGGATATTGCAGGTGCACCCGTCACCTCTTACAGTTTGCTGTGCAAGAAAAGGCTTTAATTAGTTTAATTTGTACTTTATGGGCATCAGGGGAAAGCACTAAAGGAACGAAAACTGGACTCATTAGTAAGCATAATTTATAAACGAACGCCAAGGGGTGGAGGTGCTCAGGTATTTTAAGTGTCGCAAGCCTGACAACTTTGCACACCCGTGCTCCATAGCATGACGAAGTCGCGTAAACAATTTTGTTTTGCTACCTTTTTGAACTTTCCACGGCAAATGTTTCTCACCTGCTTTTTACTGAGAGAAAACTAGAGTAAAGTATGAAATTATTCTGGGGCATCAAAAGCCTAAAATTTGTATTGCAGTTACATCTGATTGCTTTTCTCCCTAAAGAGATGACCTGATTGAGTAATACGTATGTAACACATTATCTCATGCAAAACATGCAGGGTGTAGAAAAAGTAGCGAGTATTACCCCAAGAATGTCTGCATTTGCAAGTCGGCTGCTGTGTATCTGTCTGCACACCCACAGTTTTCTTTGCCCAAACAGAGAAGCTCGCCTGCGCAACTCTTAATAAATAGGCAAATAAGAAAAATATACTTTTTAGTGAGCGCGTTGGTAATGATATAAGTTTAGAAAGAGTGATATACGTAAAGACAAAGGATGAAACAACACATGTTAGTGTGTCATATATGCTAAAACCCCTCTGTTTTGTATATATTCATTTCAGTTCGATTTTTGTTAGGTGAAACTGATGTTACAGTTCAGAGTTGAGAGTAGCTATCTTTTATTGCAACCTCCGTTCAGGCACCATATTCGAGAACAAATTACAGATGCAAGGAAAGTATACTGCATACGCCCTAAAGGAAATCGTTGCACCAGACTAAAAATGACTATCGTATACTGTGTTTGGACGTCTCCCCCGTCAGTCTGACAGAGAGCTGTGACGGCGTTTTTGGTCGTTTGTGTCCAGCCGTCTACTGTTCGACGTAAAATCGGCCCTTCTTCGACAATCATGTCAACGACGTCCGGTGAGCCGTTGAGATCCTAGAACGACATAATTAACCAAGAAATTACTTAGGAAGCTAGAACGAATTTCGACAGTTCATGTCACACGAACGTACCTCAGACCTTCGTTTCTTTGGTGGTGCGTCGAACCAGAGATGTTGCGTGGGCACAGCATCTGGCTTGAGACGCCCCCGTTTCGTTTCCAGGCCAAGGCTTCGCCGCACTTCGATGTTCATATCGTAGTCCCCAGTTAAAAAGTGATGCAAACACAGGTAGCCCTGGCTCCTACCGATGTCGTCTGGGCCATCGCGGTCAATGGCTCGAAGCCAGGCCGATCTTCGCTGTGGATCGTCCGGTAACTTATGGAACCGAATGTCGTTCGTTTTACCATACCTCGTGCTGCACTCTCTCACAAGATACACGGTCGGCATGGCGAGTGCTGAAGCGCGCACACAACAGACGTCAACGAAGCCAAGCACAGAACAACCTAAACTTGCCGCGAACAGAAAATGCGCAGCGGCGAGCAGACGACGGGACGACAGGAGCAGGGACGCGGGTAGCCGACGTTGCTATGGTTGCCGAATGACGGAAGTCTCGAGTGTGTTTGAAAACGAAACGTACCTGCAATCACGTGATATAGTACTTCCGAATTAGTTTTAGAACGCCGTAACTTCCTCACTATTTTCAAAACTTACTTTTTATGATTCCAACACAATATAGAACACAGTAGATTCTCAAATTTACACAGGTCTTATTGTGACGTTTTGTTGCTCAAGCTGGGCAACGGTGTCGCATAGTCGTTCCAGGCACCCGAAGAAATATTATGTTCAAACACTGTTTATAAAATGTGGACGTAATATTTCGCCGTGATATTTGGGATTTGGGATCTTTAAGGTCTCATCAAGTTTATCAAAATGGGAATGTTCATATATATTTTCTTTGCACGACCCCTTTAAGGATGAGAAAGAGTATCCCTCGTCTTGAGAGCATTTGTGGTGGTTGTCTGCTAACTCCAGTGTTCGCGTTTCACCTGCCGTCGTTTTTCTCATCCTGTCCACGTGGAGCACTTTCCGCTCCCCAGTGCGGGCATTCTTGACACGATATGTAACATCAGATGGCTTTTAAGTCACGTGGTGCAGGCCTTCCCAGTTAGGAAACAGCTTCTTTGATATTCCTCGTCTAACGGCCTTTACATCAATGTACACGAGATCGCCTTTGTTGTAAGTTGCTCTTTGCGAATTTCGATCGTACAGTTTTCTTCTGTGTACAGCTGATTTGAATAGTTTCTCTCGTGCTGTTTCATGAGCCATTTTAAGTCTGTGACGTTCATGACAGTAATTCTGAGGTGTATTGTACTTGAAAGGTGGTGGCTCATATAAGAGATCCTGTAAATCAGCGTTACGTTCGTATAGTAAGTAGAAATGCGTCTCATCTGTACCTTCATGTTTGGCTGTCTGGTATGCGAACATACAATATGGAATCCATTGGTCCCAGTCTTTCTGGTCAGCACACACATAGTGGGATAGCATTGATACCAAGGTTTGGTTAGGGCGGTCTACTGCTTCGTTGCACTGGGGATGATATGCTGTTGTTTGTAGCTTCCGTATCCTTAGTAACGTGCATGTATCCTGGAAAAATCTTCATGTAAAATTTGGGTCTTGATCAATCAAGATTTGCTGAGGCACCCCATGGCGAAGGATTACGAGGTCCACAAACTTTTTAGCAACAGTTTCGGCTTTCTGGTCTGGCATCGCGACGACTTCTGCATATTTGGTAAGATGGTCTACAAACACCAGAAGATAACGATTTCCTTCCGTTGTAGTTGAAAATGGCCCCACAATATTCATTCCTGCCCTTTGAAGTGGTTGTGCAATCTCTTTGAATACTTGCAGAGGTGCTCGCCTTCTGTTGGTGGACGCTTTGGGACGTACGCAAGACACACACTGGGCACAGTAGGTCTGTATCTTCTCTTGCTTTTCTGCCAGAAGTACGTCTCGCGAACCCTTTCACTTGTTTTACCTGTCTCTCGGTGTCCAGAGTAAGGTGTATTATGATATAGTTGTATCACGTAATTTTTAAGCGATTCGGGACAACAATTCGGTTCTTCACAAGACGGTCTTGTTTCAACGTAGTGTGCTTTATCCGAAAAAGAATGCCTCGAGAGTCGATAACATAGCATACGGATGTCTTATCAGGTTGCTCTTCGCACTTGGAGATTAGATGAGCGGGACTAACTTTCGATCATTTTGCTGTGCACAAATAAAATGATGACATCATAATGTGGTTCATATTGAATAACGTCTCTGACTACAGCTCTGCTTAATGCGTCAGCGTTCTGATTCATTTTTCCTGCCCGATGTTCCATTTCAAAGTAATATTCTTGCAACAGTAAGTTCAAGCGTGATAAACGATAACTGGGGTCGCGAGCGTTCATCAGGCATTTCAGTGCACGACAGTCGGTTAACACCTTGAACTTTCTTCCGTACAGGTAACACCAAAACTGCTTGACTGCCCAGACTACCGCCAAACATTCTTGTTTCGTTGCTGCATATTTTTGTTCGGTCGGATTCAATTTCCTGCTTGCATATGCAATGGGGTGCTCGTTTCCTTCGAACTATTGCACCAACACGGCTCTCATGCATTCTGAGAAGCATCCGTTCTCAGAATCAACGGTCTCGAAAAGTCCGGGAACCTCAACAGAGGAGCCTGCGTCAATTCATGCTTCAGAACATCAAATGCCACTTCAGCTTCAGTGCTCCAACTGAAAGTGACCTTCTTTGACGTGAACGCAGGTAAAGGTCTGGCTTTTTCGGCAAACTCTGGTATATGACACCTGTAATATACAATGAGACCAAGAAATTGGCGAACTTTGACTGTTCTCGGTTTTGGATATTCATTAACACAGCGCGTCTTTTCCGGATTTGGTCGAACCCCGTTCTTTGACAAAATGTGTCCGATGTACTTCACTTCTTGTTTAAGGTATCGACATTTTGAGGGTTTCAGTTTCAGTCCTGCCGTTTGTAGTATCCTCAGGACAATCTCGATATCTTTAAGATGTTGGTCCGAGCTCTGGCTAGGGATGTTGATATCATCTAGATAGATGCAGCATGTCTTTCCAAGAATACCGGCCAAAAGTGCATCCGCCGTACTCTCAAAAATGGTGAAAATATTAACCAATCCGATTGGCATCCTTTTCCACTGATAGTGCCCACTTGGTGTGGTAAAAGAGGTCCTCCCTTTATCTCTCGGTTCCATCTCTAATTGCCTGTAACCGGTGGCCATATCTACGACAGAGGAGTTGTGTGCAGACCACAAAAGAGCAAGCGTTTCCTCAATATTGGGCAATGGGTAAGAGTCAACTCGAGTCACTTTGTTCAAATCTCTGTGGTCGATCACAAACCTGAATGACCCATCTGCCTTCTGTACCAACAAAGCAGGAGCGCCCAACGGGGATTTGGAGTGTTCAATTATGTCCTTGGAGAAGATATGGGACCTGCTGTTCCATATCTCCTCGCTTTGCAGAAGGGATTCTGTAGGCCGTTCTGTATACAGGTGCGTCTACTAAGGGTGGCACGCGGTGCTTTATTACGTCGCAGCATCCAAAGTCTAGTTTATGAAGAAAGAATGCGCTCTTGTACTTTGCAAGAAGATCTAGAACCGACGTTTTTCTTCCTTTTGCAGGTGGCCAAGATCAAATTGCTCAGAAGGATGCCACCCTTCTCTTGCTTCTGCATGTGCGCTGCAATGCAAGATGGGATCTCCAGTCAATCCTTCGTTCACAATACTTATGAAATCTCCAACTAGCTGATTTTTGCGTACACGACGTTCCTGCAATGTCAGGTTGGCCATTCTCACAGGTTACCTCGCCATTACTATTGATTCGAACTGCCACATCTGCTCCTAATAGTCCGTGTGTACCTATTTCACGCATCTCTACAACACCATCTCCTGAAATCGGCATCAAATGATTCACTCTGACAAGTGTGATTGTCTTCGGCATCGGTGATTTTACACATTCTCTCGTAAGAAATACAGGAGAACGTGCACTTTCGGTTGGTGGTACATGAGATAGTGCCTGGTGATCGTCCTCTTTTTTCCAGTTAAGAACAGGGACGCTTTGCCCTCCTATTCTAAGAATACCCTCCGTGCCAGAATATCTATGCCACACTTTTGCACAATATCTTGGCCGAATATTCAAGCAACGGGAAGCATAACATCATCCGCGCATGCAAAACAGGGATGTTGAAAAGTAATCGTTCCTATCTTGATAGGAATATCAAAACAACCCATCGTTTTCAATGGCTTCCTCGTAATTCCAATCAATTTGGTGTGAGCATGCGCTTCTGAAAGGCTGAAAGGAGCACCTCCCATAAAATGTCGTAACACAGAGTCTTTCATGAGAGTTACCTTGTATCCAGTATCAATAATAAATTCGGCCACTCTAGTTATTACTCGGCACTAAACAATTCGACTGCTCTCGCCGCATAATCTAACTACCCCCGCTTTTGTATCGGCTTCCTTCTCGATGGGGTCATTTCAGAGGAGCCGTTCTAGTTTTCCTGACGTCTCCCCGTGACCCGCCCATATTTTCTTTTCACACGGTCGCACCATTCTCGCGCACTACACCGCGACTAGAAAATATCTTGTTGAGGTACTCCTACCTATGTTATTTGTTGCGTTAAATACTATCATACGAGAACTCTGGTGCAAACCACCTTCTGGACGTAGAGGTTCTGCTAACTACGAAGCGATTAATAAATCTCTTTAGTGAATGCCACAATCGCAGACAGCGTATACGCCAGATGTATAGGCGAACATCAAAAGAAGGCCTCCATCCTACAATGGAATGCAAGTGGTTTGAGATTATTACTCAGAGACTTCACACAGCTGGTTTTTAAACATAGCTTCACCGTTTTTTGTAATTTGTGAAACAAACTTACCAAAATAAACTCATTTTTTGCGGTATGAAAAATTTGACTCAGCATGCGCTACAACGTTTATTTGAAGAGTCCTTTCAGAACACGCAACAAAGGAATGTGGTTTTGACGCGATTTCAAATGGTAATGTAAAGTTGACAATCATCGCATCATATACACCAGGGGCGGCCAAGCTGCGGCTCGCGAGCCTTATGCGGCTCTTTGCGTGTTAAAGTGCGGCTCGCGGCTCCCTTCCCTATACCCCACCCCTACCCCTCCCCTACCCCCCTCCACACACAGACACACTTCCCCGCTTCCCTCCCGGTAACACGAGCACTTCCTCCGAAAAAGAAAGAAATCGAACGCGTTTTAAATCGAAAGACAGGTTGCGGTCTGGTAGCCTTGTGCTACTACTACATATGTACAATCGAGCTCCTTTTGACTTGAATAGATTGAATTGAAAGTAGTTCGAGTTTCGTTTATAGCTCTAAACAAAAGTCCCCCCCCCCCCCCCC